CATTATCCAAGTGGACCGAAGTATTTCTTTCCATTTGTAAAATGTTTTGAGTATGACCGTTTTCGTTATTGCAGCTTAATTTATGTAGTTTTTTACTATATTATATATTGATTGAGGAATTAATCCTTTGACTAAATCATTATATGCAAACTGGTCAACAGGGAGGGTGCCTCTTATTTGTCTTCCAATATCTACTTGGAGAAAGTAACTATTGTATATTTTCTTTAACATATTTGGATCAGTTTTTTTTCCTGTTTCTTGTATGAATACTTTTTTAAGAATATAACAAAAAGTATTTTTTAAGGTATTTGGGTGTCCTTGCACATGAATACATGTGTATTGATTTCATCATATGTATTACAAAAAGGATATTTTTTATCCTTATATATCTCAGGTTTTCTTGTATGTAGTATTTTCTTTGTTGGAAGTTCCTCATTTAGCAGTTTTATTGAGAAAGAGCAAAGTGAGTTATCTTTAGTTGAAGTTTTGTTGTCAGTAATTTTAGATTGTTGCCACACTTCTTGTGACCATTTCCAATTTGTTTCTTTCCTTATATTTTTGTTTAGCCATTTATATATTCGGTGTTGTGTAAACCAAGAAATGGGTAATTCAATTTCTCCTTTTGCTTTGATAAGTTCCTTAATTGATGTGTCTATATTGTTACCATTCCATTTGTGTCTAAATTGTTGCTCTCATAAATATTTAGGATTGATTAAAAAGATAGATCCTGAATTTGATCTGAGTTTTGTCAATTCGTCTGCTCTTTCATTGTTGTAATCTCCTTGGTGTGCTTTAATTTTTTCTAGTTTCAAATTAATTTCTTTTGTATAGATTAATTCTTTGATTGTTTGTAGTATTAATGGATTATTGTAATTACTCCAGTGTTTTAGTTTACGCTCATCAGTGTAACCTTTAATTGCTTTAATTGAGAATTCACTATCTGAAATTATTTTTATTGAAATTCTATTAGGAATTACCTATAGGACTGAAAGTATAGCCTATAGTTTAGCTCTTGTTGATGAAGGTGAACCCTCAACTTTCCCTTTTCATTCAATTCTTTCTAGGTTGGAATTTTTTACGAGACATAATACTGCAAAGCTTATACGTTGTTTTTTTATTTCTATATAATTTGAGCTATTTAAGGTTACATCTGTGATAAGAGATCCATTTGTATATGCTATTATTTGTTTGCTTCTTTGTAATTTCTAGTACATTCTTCTAACATTTCTAAAGTTTGTGTATCGGTATCAATGATTTTTTGTAAAAAAGTTTGATTATC